TATATATATTACTCTTCAGACATCTGTAGATGGCAATTTCTTAATTAATCAAGCAAGTACTTTCCCAAATCCCCTAAATCAGGTATAATTTAATTAGACTTGTATGTTCACAAAATTATTGTAAAAATAAAATGATTATTATCTCACATTATCCAATAAGTTTGATTAGAATGACTTAACCTTAACGGAGTTCTTTAATTACATAATAATTGATTCAAAAAACTGATTCTTAAAGCCCTAAACCTCTTGGTCCTGTGTATTAGATAGTTTTTTTTGCTGCATTGTTTCTAAACAAAGCAATTACTTCTTATTTATCTCTCTCTGGCTGGCAGCTGTCATAAAACCGCCTCGGACTTTCAGGCTGTAGTTTTTATCTTCGCAGGGCCATTACAAAAATTTTCAGTCGATACGAGCAAGATTTATGTCAGAAATCCGTGAGAGCAGTGAGCTCTGACTTGCTGTCAGCTGATGCTCAGAGCAGGTTTGACGGGGATTTCTCGTGTCCACATTCAGCAGAGATCACATGAGCAGGGAGGCGTGTACCTCTCTTCTCCACAGCCTCGGTGCAGAGCCTGACGAAGCGAGGGACGGTGCTCCTTTCTCGCTCGCAGAGCATCTCCAGACGACAGCCGAACACCTGATCTGAGGAACGATAACAGATGGACACAAAGCTGATGTTTTTTGTTTTTTTTTGGTTATCTTAAGGGTTCCTTTAAAGATTGGAGAGCGACAAGCTCAAGTTCATCTACTGTCACGTTGCACGTTCACTCCAAGAGAAGCCCATCAGGGTTGACTCAGTTCCCAGCAGACGTGTATGATGCAAGTCACCCAGCGTACTCTGAAGACTGCAGGGTTACTCAGATGTGTGGCACCAGCATGCAGCTTTAATGATACAGCACATGTTTTACAACGTAGTTACGAATACTTCAACTGCATCTAGCTCAACGCGCGTTACTGTTGTCTAATTTCATGTGCTTCGATAGACATTTTCAGGAGCCACACCGTTCATCCGAACTGCTTCAGTGTTTCATCAAAAAGGCAATTCCAGTCCCTAATGAGAAGAAAGCTGGGGCCACATCCATAATCTTTACCGCCTGCCACCAAAAGGTGAAGGCAGAGTCTGTTAATCAAATATCTAACGAACTATTAGATAACTTTTAATTAAAACTAGCAGAAAGTAATTATTGGGTGTACATCTACCATCTTTTTGGAGTCAAGCCAATCCAAGATGGCTGCCACAGCCAAATTAATTTAAATAAAACAAAAATCGGCTACAACTTAGACAATTATGCAGATATTGAGCTAGAACTTGGTGTGGTAGTAGCAAAAAATTGTTGATTGCTATAGATTATTGTTTAAAATGTTGACATTATTTAAAGTTAAAGCTGTCTGTTAGCAAAATATCTCAAGAACCACTGGACAGATTTGAATGAAATCTTCAGGTAACAGCCAGAGGAGCCAACCCAACAGAAGACGGCTGCTAAAGCTAATCAACATTAGCAAACAAAAAAAATGGCTCTAACTTTGTCTGTTTTGCAGATATTACGCTAGGATTTGATGTGGTAGTAGCTGAGAGTCATTCGCAACACAAACTCTAAGCATGGCGTCTCGCATGAGATTGTGTATAACATTATTTTCTCTGCTATTTTTCAACCTAAGATGATCTCTCATATAATTTGTATGTTCAAAAACTGGACCCTGAGCGCTCACTGTGGTCTGAATGTTCAGGACACTTCGCAATTAAACAAAAGCAAAAACTCCCCCAAACCAGAGACCCTCATTTACAGCTGTGTTTCCGCTCATGCTGCAGTTCACGTGCAGAATGTTTGACCACGCTGGTTTAAAATTTTGTTTTAATTCTGTAAAACATTGTTGTAAAAATTCTGCATGAATTTTTTAACTTAAGCTAAATTATTTTCTTACTGGGTCAGAATTTGTTGTCAAAAAGAGGAGGATGTAGGCCTGAAATGTTGCATGGAAGAAACACTGAAGGGTTTTGTTAAATAACTGAGAATAAAGACAGTGCTGCTGTAGGAACAAAACAAAGAAACAAAAAGGAAACGCAGTTTTCTTATCGATAAAACACACACACACACACACACACACAAGAATCTGAGAGAACACAAAGGGAGTATCACTATGATGAGTGACATCTTCAGGCTGGAGTACATAATACATTAAAAATGCAGACTAAGTGAAATTAACCAAGAAAAAATATTATTTATACCAGCTATTTATATGATTTTGTTAATAATAAGAGTGGTTTCTATCTGGTACGATAGTTATTTAGTAAATCAGGAGTTTGTAAAATAGAAAAAAAGAGTGACTTTTTTATTTGTTTAAAATAGAGGTAGACAAATAAACAATTAATATATAGTACCTCATTTCCAGGCTCCTAATATGTTAATACAGTAGTCCCTCGCTATTTTTTGCGGACTTGATCTATCTCGGTTTTTCAAAATAAGATTGGACATGACACTATTAGCTGCCTGATGGATGAGCCGCACGATCGGCATGGAATTTATATTTAAAATGAATTATTTTAAAGCACCTGCTGCACCTGTGTGCAGCCCACACTGCAGGAGAAACTTCATCCTGCTCCTCCTCCTCCTCTGTTGATCTGTGTTCTGCAGTGGAGAAGTGGGCGTGGCCGAGAGCTGAGATCATGACATTCTGTGCTCTTTCAGAGCGTTTAGAGTTTAGAAACATTGTTTAGAAACATTGTTTAGAATATTGTAATAATGTGGGAAGGGTTTATAACACCTTTATATATATATCCATATATCCATATATTCATCCATCCATATATATATATATATCCATATATTCATCCATCCATATATATATATATATATATATATATATA